CATCAGGATTGGTGAAGTATCCCCAGGCGGGGGTAGCCGTGGCAGCTGATTGGAGGACGACAGCCAATACGCTGAGAGCAAGTGCACCAGCGGCACCTCTGGCCGCAACGGCGCGCTTTTCGTTACGTCTTGGATCTGTAGTCGTCGTTGCGACAGCTCTAACCCCATGATTATGATTATGATGATGATGATGACGATTGTTGTTCTCGTTGTTGCTGGAATCGGTTGCCATTCTTCACATAACGATTTTTCCTCCCCCTTTATCCAAACTCACTCTCTCTCTCTCTCTCTCTCTCTCTCTCTCTTTCTCTCTTTCTCCCACCCTCTCCCTTTTATTTTCTCTTTTATTTATTTCGAGCAATAATAAAATAAAAGATATTCGTTCGACTATAAGTCTTGTAGGGATTATAATCCGTCTTGTGCATATGCGATCGATATAACGTAGGAGGTTAGAAGAGAGAGGTATATATGCGTGTATGTCTGCAGTCTGTCTGCTATCTCTGCTGATATATATATATGTATGTGTGAGTGAGAGTAACAATAGATTAGTGGATAGACAAGTTAGAAAGAGTGAGATAGAAGAATAGTCACATAAATAAATGTTATGTTTGTCCCTCTTTCTCCCTCTATATATATATATGATATATGTATATATATTATATATATATATATATATATATTCACATAGAGGAACGTGAAAACGACGTCGGCGACTATGTGTATTGGGACACGAGCAAATTCCAAGTTCTTTCTATCTCTTTCTCTTTCTCTTTTTCTCTTTCTCTTTCTCTTTAGATTCTTCGACTATACTGGACTCTCTTTCTCTCTCTCTCTCTCTCTCTTTCTTTCTCTCTCTCAATCTCTCTCTCTCTCTCTCTCTCTCTCTCTTGGTTCCTCGTGCTTTCCTCGGTGAGCAGTGGTGCCCCGAGAGAGGAACCGGTTTTTGCGACCAATGCTCGAGTGAGAGAGAGTGAGAGAGCAAAAGAGCAAGAGAGAGAGAGAGAGAGAGAAAGAGAGAGAGAGAGAACCGCGGACGAACTTGCTAAAAATAAAAATGCTCTCTTTCTTTCTCTCTCTCTCTCTCTCGCTTTCTTCGGTGTTGTTCCTCTTCCTTCTCTCTCTCTCTCTTTTTCTCTTCCTCTCTCTCTCTCTCTCTCTTTCCCTCTCTCTTTGTATCTTTCCTTTTCTTTAAAGGATAAAATAAAAATTCGAAGAAAAAAGAAAGGAAGAAAAAAAAAGTACGAATATAATAAAACGAAACGAAAAAAAAAAAAAAATATATATATATATATATATATATATATATATGAGAGAAGAGAATAAGAAGATCTTGAGACGTATCCGGCGGTTGTAAATGTGTTGGTAACGTCGTTGATGCGTCGTCCCTCCCCTTCGTGTCCTCGTCGTTCTTTCGTCTCGTTGATTTTCTTGTCCGTTGAATTCTATAGTCCGTAGATAGCGTAGGCTCTCTCTCTCCTCCACCCCCACCCCCACGACCTTTTTTGTCTTTAACTCTCTCCTCTTCCGGGACGATAAATTAATTTTCCTTTTTCTTTATCTTTCCTTTCTGGTCTTTTTCTCTCTTTCTTTCTTTTTCTTTTTCCTTCAAGAAATAAATAAAATACAGAGATAATGGATGTATACGTGTGTCTATATGTGTATGTGTGTGTGTGTGCGTGTGTATAAAAGAAACGAGAGAGAGGGAGAGAGAGAGGGAGAGAGAGAAAGAGAGGTAGACTGAGGACGGAGGACGTTCGATCGACGACGATAAGAATGATCGAATCGCCCGCGGATTCGTCTCGATCAACGATCGAGCACCGCCATCGCGCCTCGCCGCCTCTCCTCTCTGATTCGTCAAGATGGCGCTCGCAAACTTCCCTCGAGCTCCCACCTCGTCCTTCTTCTTCCTCTTATTATCTCCTTCCTCTTCGTCCTTATCCTTTTTTTAGCAGTAGTAGTAGTAGTAGTAGTAGTAGTAGTAGTACTACTAATAGTATTAGTAGTAGTAACAGTAGTAGTAATAGTATTAGTAGTAGTAATAGCAGCAGCAGCAGCAGCAGCAGTAGTAATAGTACTAGGAAAAGTAGTAGTAGTAGTAATGTCTTTGACGTTGATGTTCTTCCTGGTATTGGTTATACTAGTAAGAATAATATTTAAAAAAGTTAATCGATTTTTCCTCATCGTCCAAGTCGCCTCTCGATTCGACAAGATCGATTTCGATCGTTACTCCCTCTATCGATCGCTGACATCTTTCTTTCTCTCTTTTTATTTGTCGTTGATGCTGTTTTTGTTATTGTTGTTGCTGTTGCGTTGTTGTTGTTATCGTTATTCTTGTTGATTGTCGTTGTCGTTGTTATTATTATTATTATTGTATAATATTTTCCTTTTTCTGTCTGATTGTTTTCGTTTTTCCTTCGGCGTTTCCTCTTCTAAAAACGAAAGAGAAAAATATACATATATATATATATATATATATATATATATATATATATATACATATATATATATATACACGTGCGCACGCACGCATGCAAGCATGCATACACACAAACACGAACACATACGGTGAAAGAGAAAGAGAGAAAGACGTATATACTACGAGCTTCACCGTGGTAAAACGCTATTAAACTCGTTGGTGTTCCTAATCGATCGCAACGGAACGCGTTGTTCGCACGGTCTTCTCTTAACGTTCTTCTTTCCCTTTCATATCAAAAATATTTCTCTTCGTTATTATCCTTTGTCAATAATCAACGGTCATCTTCGTCATTCGATCAACACGATTCTCATTTATTGTCATTTAACTATCAACAAAGCGATTCTCAATTTATTATTATCTTCATTTACTTTATTATAACCTAGTCAACTCTCTCTCTCTCTCTCTCGATCGAATTCAAATTTCCCGCTACCACCTCCCGTTCCTTCCAACCTCTTTCTCACCGTACACATACATACATACATACATACATATACATACACTCCCTGTTCTCCTTTTTCTTCTTTCTTTCTCTCTTCTCTTCTCTTCTCTTTTCTTCTCTTCTTTCTTCCTTTTTTCTTCTTTATTTCTTTTCCTTTCTTTTCTCTCTCTTCTTTTTTTTTTCTGGTCTTCTCTTACTTCTTCTCTCACTCACTAACTCCACTAACTCCACTCACTCACTTACTCGCTCAAACGCACATTCGTACACACGTACTACACAAATACGCGCGCGCCCGCGCGTATGCAACACGACGATCACAAAACCCGCGCGCGTTCTTGGTATTCGAGTTTCGTTCAAATACGAACAACATATTCTTCAATTTGATCACTAACGTAGTAAGAATCACTTTCGCGAGTGATAAATCGCCGAGGACGACGACGACGACGTCGACGACGACGTCGACGATCGTCGATGACGACGACGACGACGACGATAATGACAACAACGACGACGACGACGACGACGACGATGCAACGACGACGACGACGACGACGATGTGGTGTCGTTTACACACGGAAAAAGCCGAACGATTGCCGAACGAGGTACGAACTTTCTTACTCTATCTATCTCTCTCTCTCTCTCTTTTTCTCTTTCTCGTTCTCTCTTTCTCTCTTTCTAAATATCTTCGTGTTTGTACCTGCGTATATAACACGAGGATTTACACATAGAACAAACGTATCAAACAAAAAAGACGATAAATGTACGCGAGCCTGCGCGTTGCGCGGCATACTGAGCTTACCTCCGCGAACGAGCCGCTTCGAATGCTTCCCCCACCATACCTCTCTTCCTTTACGTTCTTTCTCTTTCTCTCTTTCTCTCTTTCTCTCTCTCTCTCTCTCTCTCTCTCTCTGTCTTACTCTCTCGTTTTCGTACTACACTTACGCTCACACTATACTACACTTATGGACACTCCTTTCGCTTCTCTCTTTCTCTCTCTCTCTCTCTTTCTGTTTCTCTTGTAAGCCTACTATTGTCTCACTCTCTCTCTCTCTCTCTCTCTTTCTCTTACTCATTATAATTTCTTCTTCTTCTTCTTATTATTAGTTTATTTCTCTCGTTTATTCAATAGTTCCTTCTCTGTCTTTATATACAACGTTTTCCTCATTCACCAACTTCTTCTTTTTCTTTTTCTCTTTTTTTTTCTCTCTCTCTTTCTCTCTCTCTCTCTCTTTACGCTTCATAGCTTCTTTCTTCTTCTTTTTCTTTCTTTTTGTTCTCTCTTTCTCTCTTGCTCTCTGTCTCTCTCTCTCTCTCTCTTTCTCTCTCTCTCTCTTCCTCACATCGGATTTGCATCGCTGCCGAACATACATACATACATACTTTACTGGTCGTGTTATACTCGCCTCATGTCTCCGCCGTGCCATCCTTCGTTGCAAATTCTCTCGTCTTAAGAAATAATCTCTCCTTATTTTTTCTTTTCTTTTCCTTCTTTTTCATCCCTCCTTCCTTTTATTTCACCGTCATCGTTATTATTATTTATTTCTTATTGGATAATCTTATACTCGATATATTCTAAAAGGGAGTAAGTAAATTCTCGCGGTTTCTATCTATCTATCTTTCTTTCTTCCTTTCTTTTTGTTCCTTTTTAAAAATTTTTCTTTTTTTTTTTTTTTTTCATCCGATACAATCCGATAATACGCGTTTACACGGTCGATAATATAGTTTGATCAAGATGTCACGTGATAAAAGTAGTCGCCATTTAATTTTCAATATGGTTAACATGATAATCCTGGCGTCTTATTAATTGGATCCGTCAAACGTTAAATCTTTTTCTTCATCTTTCGCGTTGTTTTCTGCGTTATTTTCTTTCTTTCTTTCTTTCTTCTTTCTTTTATTTTTTTTTTTCTTTTATTTTTTGTTTCACGCTTAAATTGACAAGAAGACGCATTATGATTGTTACGAAAACAGGAAAAGATGAAGATAAGGAAAAGGAGTAAAATATAAATGGAGAGGAGCCGGTGTGAATTTGTTAAGAAAGAAGAAGCAAAAGATTCCGGCTTAACGTTGAGTAAGATAAGATAAATT